AATTCCTCTATAAATATTTTAGCTTTTGGATTACAATTACTTTCAAATCGCCCTTTTATTTCCAGTGAAGTTGCTAAACTGTTTGCTGTTTTAAAGATTTCTTCCATAAATGCAGATTGTGTTCGACGTGTATATGCCTTTAAACTAATATAATTCTTAAAAGTTTTCGATGAGAAACGTAACTTTTTGATATTAGTTCTTATAAAGTTCGCAAGGTAGCCCATATTTATGAGTTCATTGAAACAAAAAAACACATTGCCGAGCCAAAGGAACATCGATACCAGAAATCTGATATTGATATGCCTAAGGTCAATTTAAAAAAATTTATATAGTAGGTTACCCTTTTAAAAAGCACCTTACTTAGATATTCGGCTGACGAATATCTGTGCATGTTACCTGTGTTCAAGGTAATATCAAAGTTAACGTGGCTAAGTTTGACTAGTTTTTAAGGTACCTGAAAATAAATGATAAGTTTGGGCTGGAAGTGAAACGAAATACTTTAGTTTTTATATCGAAACATTTTTCACCATATTTGCTTACTTCTAGGCCCGGTTCTAAGATAGTAAATGCAAAAAGAGGGGCGGAATATATGGTATGATTTTGAAAAAAACGGTTAAGCTTCTGTTTTTTCCCTTCCCAAATTACGTATTAGTGCAAATTATATTGTGAAAGCAGTAGCTTACCACATGCTTTAGATTTATAAAGATTGTTTTCTATCTTCATGTACGCGATGAAATGTTTGCATTTTTTACTTACTTTGATACGGTTAAACAAAACACAGTCAAAAGTTAATTTACTGCGTTTCTTTGGCAAAAAGCTTCCCCCATTTGCAAAAAATCATTTTTGCACCTGTAAAATTTCCTTGTTTCTAAAGAGCAATGTAATTCCTTAAACTTGCCTTTGCGTGATTTTCCTCAAACATTGACCAGATTTACCCGTTCTGGAACGTATATATTGTAGATTTTTCTTGCTTGTTTTGGATTTCTTCCATAACATAACGCAGAGGATTAAAAGGTTTGATTCTCTCATACTGATTAACATAGGACATTTGTTCAATATCAGGCAAACTCCGATTTCACCAAAATGCTTCCTGTTGCTTTTAGATAAATTGAATTAAACAGGCAGTTTTGCTTTCTTTATAGGATTCAGCTCAACTTCTACAAGGTAAATATGTACTATAATGTAAATATCTATGTACTGAAAGAAGGGAAAGGTTTTCGGAAAATTCAAGATATACTTGAGAATTTTCGAGCTGGCGACACTTTATTGGTCTAGTTTTCCATGTCGCCTATAATGTCTAATTTACCTTTCTTACTTTCTCACTTCCATTTATTTTGTCTGAGGACGGACAAGTGTCACCAGCCCCAAGAACCCTTTCTTTTCTACATTATCTGCACGTACAAAATAAAAACAATTGATTGTATATCTAATGAAATATTGTGGTATGGACAAGAAATTTTCTGTTGCGCGAAGTTAGCCCACATGGCGTCCCTCCAAATATTATGGCAGTAAATTAGGTACCATAAGGAAAAATGCATATATTGGTTGACGAATTTCTATTTACTAACATTTAAATATTTAGTTTTAACAAAAAAACTTGAAATTATGGTAGTGGCTATATGGCAAGTTACTGATCCAATGTTAAATATAAATATGTTTAAGGCATGGGAGTGAAACCGAATGAAAAATTAAGACAGAATAAGAACAAATACAAACTTCGTGTACGTTATATAGTTTCCATCAACATTTAAACTAGCATTGTGTCAGGCATAGATGTGACCATAGATGTGCGTTATGAATATTGAGTAAAAATTTCAGTTTTCAATGCACGAAGAGATCCTTCTGTGCTTCGTCTCAATGTCTATTGACAATTGCAAAAAGGTATTCTATGGTAATCCGATCCGGACTGTTGGCAGGAATAAAAGTAGATTGGATGCTATATAGGGGTAGGCTGTCTGTTTACTGAAAATTTAGATCACGGTTGTACTTGTAATCAAATTCATACCACCTTTTGTATATTGAAAGAAATTTCCTTCTGGCACATTACTTTAGAGAGTTCGAATGCGACGAGCTGCAGATTGTTCTCGAAATTCTGCTTAAGCATTTACGAATTTCTGTGTTTTTTTCCTTTGTCTGCAAATACTGATTTTGTTCAACCTGGTTACCAAAAACTTAAAAATAAGAAAATATCTTAAAAGCATTTACCTACATAATGAGTTTTAAACATTTCTTCTTATGCAGCTGTCTGTGTGGGTCATGATTCTAGAATCACCTAAACATGTCAACTCATAGCCGAGAAAAATGAATGTTCAAAACAAAAGTCAAAAATGAGTACGTCAAAGATTACTTTAAAAATTTCCTATAAGAAGTTACTCCTTCAAAAAGCGCTTTAGTTAGATAGTTCGGCATCGAATATCTGTTTACCCTACCTTTTTTGAAGATGAAGTCAGGATCGAAATGGGATATTTTGACCAATTTTTTCATCTTCCTAAAAAATTAGGGATAAATACTCTGCTGAAAATAAAAGAACTTACTTTTCTGTGTAAATCGGAGCATTCTACAGTATGTTTTTTTACTTCAGGGCACCGTTGTTTGATTGCAAATGCACAACGGAGTGACCGAATGTATCCTTAGATATTTTTAAAAATGATAATCATTCGCGTGTTCTGTTACAAGTTTTTGTATTCACTGATTTTCTTCCATATTTTGAAAACAGTTGGACGGGGTTCATTTACGGCATTATAGAGAAAACTTATGAAATTTCGCGACATTTCATGTACAGCCAAATACGGTCAGTAATTTCAGCGTATTAAAACAACTGTCGGTTTCGTCAAGTTATTACTTATCTTAAGGGCACAAAACGTAACAGATTTGTAAGGAAAAATTTTGTAAACTGAAATCTTTTTTCTTTTCTCGGCAATAATGCGCTATCTCATAGGTACACTTACCTCAATTTCTTGGACGCAAAACAACATTTTCTGCTTTGTAAACAAATATGATTAAAACGTTCCTGCTATTTATGAATGTTCTTTTATATTGAAACATGCACAAACAAGAAGCATTTTTTCGGCAGCGTTTAATAGCGTAGGAAATTCCTTGGATATCAACGAACGCTGGACTTTGCCCATTTCCGCACCTATTTCCCCCGGTATACTGATTTGAACGAAATTCATTTCTAGTAAACAGCAATTTGCGCCTCAATTCAACCAAACGAATACAATAAACGAGCTCAAGTATGTGTTAAAACACCCACTCAAATGTCGATCTTCACATTATATCAGATAAACAATCTACTGCATTTATAAATACTGTGAGGCATCTGATCGTAGACAAAAGCCACAACGTAATATTCCATCCAAGAACGAGATGGGCGCCAGTCACTAGATCAGTAGTCAAGACTTGAAAATTGTATGTAATTAGGTTACAAAATGATACCCTCCAACTTTTAGGCCATCAGAAAGCACTTAAGTTTGCCACTCTTAAGTTAGCCGGGAACATTGTTGACGCACTTGCCTAAGAAAAGGAGATCGAACCTTCTGCCTCACACCTGAATGAATGAAAGGAGTAAATCCTAATTTGCCGAGTGTGAGAATGAAAGTAATAAGGGAAAGCCGAACCCCGTAATGCAAGCGGCGTTGCTCTCAATTTCGGAGAGATTAGGTTTGGGGTTAGGTGCAATCTGAGGGCCTGTATTACGTTTAATTGTCGGGTTAAGGAGAGACTTAGAATACAAGAAGCCGTGCCCTTCGTAGAATTTCCTGTAATGTTGTCTGTATTCTCGGAGGAGTTCATATTCTCATGTTCTACTGTCATGAATTTAGGGCTTGGCTAAACATTCCGAAATAGCAGGATTTCGTTAGAGGTTACGATTAGTCCACGCGATAGAAGGCACTGATGAAGCCGGCCCAGCCTGAATGCCGTTCCTTTTAACTTTACCGCATAATCACCGAAAGTTAGCCGACACGTATAACAAAGGCACGGTCTCTCAGAAGTCCATTTTTATCGGCACTTAAATGATTTTATCTGTCAAACGGCGTAGATTCTTATCTTTAACCAGGGTGTAAACTCCTTCAAATGGGGTGCTTATTGGTAGGAAGTCATTAATCGAAGTTCGGCGGCTCTCTTTAATGGGAATGGGAGGGAGACGAACATTAGTTAGCTATTGTAGATAAATTTGAGCACTTTAGCCAAATAATATTTTTTTTAAATTAGTATAATTTCAAGTATTTTCCGGCCCGTCGACGCCAGAATCTATAGGCCTCCCAAAAAGCATCGACTGCAGAGAATATTAACGTGATTTGGTTTCACGTCAGTCCCTTGCGCTCTATTATAGGCAGTCAGCACATCATTAGGTTCAGCTAATCAATTCTTGTACCTGAAAAAGCCGATATCCGATGTTCGTGACAATTCTGGAGCGTAGAATATCTTAAACAGATCTAATAAATCTGTCGTTAAATATTTCCCTTGATGTGTCTTTTCCTTGGCAGTCTTAAAGGGGATTCAAACAGCTAAAATCCACATAAACAGTTATTCGAGGATATTTGGGCCTGCTGGCGCAACGCAGTCCTCATTCGGTTCTTTTTGCGTGGCCTCTTTAACCGAAAATGTCCCGCAATCCAAAAGATGATTAAATTACTACGGTTCATAGCGTGACAGAGCTCGGGGTAATCCTCGGCGCGTTGTCAGCCCCTGCTGCCTGTATTTGGGAAAAGCTTAAATTTTCACCTTTGTCCTGAATTGTTCTCTAACTCTGATACGGGGCCTGGAAGCATGTGCTGCATTGGTTCGTTAGTGCGCACGCAGATAGTGAATTCTGCGATTTTTGTGGCATTGGCCATTGGAGGGAAGGCAGAATGACCTTCAGAATATCTGACCAATCAGTCGACGACAAATAAAGGCCGATATGCCAAGAACGCTCACGCCGAGGTGAAGGCACACAAAGCTTTACTTTTGCCGCCGACAAACCACTATTCCTGCGGAGTCTCTTCCTCCCTTGCCCCATGGACGATCTTAAAGTGGATGAGGCTCTAGCCGGCATCGTACATCCAGATGGATTTTGGCAATTTATAGTCGTAATCCTTACTGCACTCTCGATTCCCGGCACAGCCATCATATCCGTCTTTACCAATTCATCTCCCAAATACCGCTGCCGACTAGAGCCCCAGATAGAGGCCTGGCTACTCAATGCCTCGAGCACGTCAAATGCTACCCGCTGGGATATACGCAGCGTTGCTGAATTTTTTGGACCAAAGTTATCCCATCCGACTGCCGTTAGAGCCTGTGAGGTTTACGCTGTGGATCGACTGCAAAATGCAACCATTGAAAAACTGTTTCTCTACCAGAGCCAGACTCTACCACTCGTGCGAGACAAATGTCCCTTCGGTTTTGTCTACGAATATGACTGGTACCAATTCCCCGGAGGTCTGGTCGAAGAGTGGGATCTGGTCTGTGATCGCGCCTGGGAGGTACCTTTCAACGAGAGCATTTACATGTTGGGCATGTTGATTGGCTACCTGGTTGGCGGTTGGTTCAGCGACCGATTTGGCCGAAGACTTGTCATCCTCGCCTCGGGTGTGGCTGAATTTGTCATCGAATTGTTAATCTGCTTCTCCAT